GTACTGAGTCAGACCAAAGGTCCTTCTAGCCCAGTATCCTGTCTGCCGACAGTGGCCAACACCAGGTGCCCCAGAGAGGGTGGACCGAGGACAATGATCAAGCGATTTGTCTCCTGCCATCTATCTCCAGCTTCTGACAAAAAGAGGCCAAGGACACCATTTTATCCCCTGGCTAATAGCCTTTTATGGACCTAACCTCCATGAAATTATCTAGCTTCTCTTTAAACTCTATTATAGTCCTAGCCTTCACAGCCTCCTCTGGCAAGGAGTTCCACAGGTTGACTACACGCTGTGTGAAGAAGAACTTTCTTTTATTAGTTTTAAACCTGCTACCCATTAATTTCATTTGGTGATAACCATGTTCAGATCACTGCTTTCTGGGGAAAAAATAGGCCGCAGTGTCCTAATTACTTAGCAGGGGATTGTATATCTGGGTGACACACACAAATGGCATCAACGTTGAGTGGTGCACTTTGGGATACCCTATCACTGGTAGGAGGCAAGAGAATCAGTTACACAGGCACAGTCAGGGACATCTTGTCCCAAACGAGCAAGGAGTGTGGCTGCCTGGTTACAGGATGCCAGACAGGCCAGGCTAAGATGGACACTGTTCTAGTTGCCATGGCTACCAGCCATGTGGACATAAATCATGTTTCAAGCCAATCCTTCAAGCCAAACTCAGGATATGTGTGTCTGTACTGCAACCAGGATGTGTGCTTGCAGCACATCTATATATCCCTACACTAGCTTTGATTTAGATAGATCAAAACTAGCTTGAGTAACAGGAGCAGTGAAACTACTCCAGCTCAGGTTTACCTGCTCAAATGTGACCTTAGGGTCCTTGGAGAGTGGGTGCCACTACAGCCTTGCCACTACTGTTACTCAAGCTAGGTTTACTGGAGCTATCTTGGGTATGTAACCATGTGCTACAGCCACATCGCCTGACTGCAGTATACACCCGGCTTGAGTTAAAAGTTCTAGTGTGTCATGCCTTAAGGACTGAGCCTTCCACTCCAAGAAGTGGTTCTAATAGTTCATGAACCTACTGGGAGTCTGAAGGTCAGGGCCAGCCAGTCCTGGTGAAGTTGTTAGATCAGTGATACCCTGAAGCTTTGCAAAGCAGATCCATTTCTTGGTACAAACACATCTGAACTAGCCAGCAACTTTACACTTGTCTGCCTGTCCAAAACTGCCCCAGAGACATCCAGGCTATGTCTACACTGGCGGCTTCTTGCTCAAGAACAGCTGTTCTTGCGCAAAAACTTGTCGGGTGTCTACATTGCACATGCGTTCTTGTGCAAGTAAATTTACAGTACAGCATTGGAAAACAGGGCTTCTTCCGGAAGAGTTATTTCTCTCCCCACGAGGAATAAGCCTTCTTGCTCAAGAGGGCATTGTAGAAAGGCAACATGAATTGCTTGCGCAAGAAACCCCTATGGCTAAAATGGCCATCAGAGCTTTCTTGCGCAAGAGAGCATCCACACTGCCATAGATGCTCTTTTGCAAAAGCACATCTTTTGCAGAAAAGCACATGCCAGTGTAGACGTGCTCTTGTGGAAGACTTTTTGTGCAAGAACTCGTCCACAAAACAGTTCTTGCACAAGAAACTGCCAGTGTAGACCTAGCCCCAGTGTTATGTATTAGATGAACAGAACAGTGGTCTGTAAATCTCTCGGGCTTCAATGAGATTTCAGTAGAAAAAGAATCAAGCCCTTGACACACTCAGTGTTCAAAAGCCAAAATATGGTGATGTGCATTGGAGGAATCCCAACGCCATGGTGAAAACAGAGTAATTCCATGGAATTGGGAAAAAGGAACAATACTTTTTATTCCCATAAACCAGATTTTGCCACCTTTAGTCAAACTAAACAGTGTATTATTCCATGAAAAGGCCCCACTGGCACTGGGACTATTTTTGGGGTGGGAGTGCTGAGCTGCATCCACCCATTAGACCTGTTGAGATCGGGTCACCAACTCTCTTGGGTCCGGTCTGTCCAGTCTGGGAGAGTTGGCAATCCTTACTGCTCCAGGCTGGAGTCACAGCCGGGGGCAGATGCAGAGCCCAGGGCCAGCAGTAGCAGGCGGGACTGGCGGGCTGCTGAGTCTGTAGCAGGGCTAGCTGACAGCGGGATTCTAAAGGCTAACAGAGCGTATGGGACCAATGGGTGGTGAGACCCCCCAAGGGCCAATGGAGCCCACGAGGCTGGCAGGATCTCAGGGGGCTGGCAAAGCCCATGGGGCCAGCAGGCAGCAGGACCCCAAGAGGCCAGTAGAACCCTGCAGGGGCTGCCCAGAGCCTGGGACCTTTGGCTGAAGGAGATGGCAGTGGGGCTGGCTTCCAAGTGCAGGCATGCAAAACCCTACATCTCTATTTCTTGTGCCTATGTTGAAATCAGTGGGAATACTTTCTGAGTAGGATTCTACTCAGTGTGAGTAAGGGTATTAAAATCTGACCCTTGGAAGCCTAAGAAGACATGATGGAATTTTTTCATTTAGCATAAATAATATTTGCTTGTAACTCTATTTCCACAGTTCAAGATGGCACTAAGTAAGGGGGCATGGTGTCATTATGGATAAAATGTGGAAAAAGCTTCACTTTC